GAAAGAGAAGTTAAAGAATCAAACAACTCACGATAGTAGATTTGATGAAATGACTGCCAACCAATCCAAAATTGTTAAAGTATTATCAACTATCTCTGCTAGAATTGTTGAGCGAGATGTACAAAGGGCGGTAGACCGTGAACAGAAGGCTGTAAAGCGTCAAAAAAGGGCCGAGGATAGGGAAGAACAACTAAAACTCCTATCTATGATGAATGAAAGAGAACAACGAAATGAAGATCATAAAATAATGTTAATGGACATGAAAAATTTAAATCCTATGCAAATGGCGTACTATGAAGAGCTTCAACTACAAATCTTATTTTGAAAATAGATTGCCTTGACTGCTTCTATATTGGTGGGTAGTATTGGTTTTATTGTTTAAAAACAGTAATAGTGGGTTGTATTGGAATTATTTGTATTCAATTTTTTTTTATATAACATATATTTGTATTGATTTGATTTTAACATGCTCATAAATATGTGGTTGGTAAAAAATTTTAGTTCACACATTTATTTGCCAATCGTTCTGTGTTTAGTAAAAAATTATGTACATTACTAATGTTCAAATTACCACCAGCAAATAAAGAAAGCTACTATATTATAAAAGACAGAACCACTACATTTATAAAACAAATTGACCCAACAAAATAACAAAAGGTTGTTAACAAAACACAAAACAACGAAAATACATAATGTAAAAGTACATTCTAAAAACAAACAAAATTCACATAATTTGTTCTTGTCGTCCAAGATGTCATCGAAACACATCAACAGTCATTGTCTGGTGGTGGTGGAGGGAAGTAGTGATCGTAGATGTCATTTACACGATGCTCAATGCTATCCATGCGATTGCTTACCACTTCATTACGCCTTTCAATGTCCAAACAGAACTCACCAAATTATTGAATTAATGAGTTATGCGCAGTGGCAAATGCATTGAACTGAGTGCCTAACGAACTAACCTGATTAGCCATTTGTTGTTCCCATTGAACACGCTGATTATGTCATTTTTCTTCCATGGCCAAAAACTCAGTCCAATATTGAGGTTGTTCAGTTGATGGCATCGCATTAGCATAAGGATCTTCTGGAGCATTATCTGGTGGGACATGTGCATTAAGACTTCCCATTAAATTGTCGGCTCCACCAGCACGGGTCAGTGTATACTTTGAAATGGCTGAAGAGATTTTGGTCTCTGGTTCATCTATAAGGCAAACCCTAAAATGTTTGAAAATTTTAATCAGTAGTGCCCCAAAAAGTAATGACCGCCCCATGAATTGACCAAGATTTGCATACATCATTTCTTTCATTATGATGTAGCATAAATCTATTTTATGGCCAACTTCAAAACAGTATAACAAATAAGTATTAAAATATGGGACATCATCAAAATGTCCTCTTTTTGGAGTGACATGTTCTACAATCCACCGGTGGAGAATCCGAAGATAGGGTTTCAAATGTTTTGCTTGTAGATTACTCCCACTAAATCTATTCTCACAGATAATAGTACATACGTCACTGATATTACCAACAATATTAACTAGGTCAGCCTCACTCTGAAAATGGATATGCATGTCCCCTTTCTCAACTCCAATAATTCCTACTAAAACAGGGATATCAAACTGAATACCCTTTCCTTTCACATAAGACAGAAGAGTAAAGTTTCTATTTTCTTCGTTAGTACCTCTTAGGTGAACATAAAATAAAGACACCGGCCGTGAATACACCTTTTGCAATAAATTAATTAAATTTACCCACCCTATTGCCTAAAGTTTGCTAACTAATAGTGGATCATATTAAGGTGGCAGATTAACCCTCCTCTTTGTTACAATAGGTCTCCTGGAGAAGCTTTGAAAGGCTTGTTCATGACTTTCACTGAGAAATCAGAAGCAAGATAAACCTCATTTTCAGGCTGCTGTTGTTGGCGTGGTGGAGGGTTGGAGCTTTTACCATGTTCTGGTCATGCTCTTTTAGTTCTAGGCATGATGTAAATATCTGTTCAATTTTAATGGAAATGTGTTAACTATTAATGGTGAATTATAGAGGAGCTCAAATTAAAATGGAAATGTGTTAAATATCAAAGGTAAATTAGAGTTGGCATTTAGTGTGAGGAGCTTAAATGGTGTGAACTGTGGTGTGCAGAAGTGCAACAGATAAGGAAGTGCACATTGAAAAAAAATAAATAAATAAAAAATTAGCAGGGCCGGTTAATCGGTCGGTCAACCCATCGATTGATCCACCAGTTGACCGGTGTTGAACACTCACGAAATTTAGTTTATGCTACTATTCGGCTTGTTATTTCTATTGCTGTTCGGCTTGTTGCTTCAGTTGGTTTGGCTTTCTAATTCTGTCGATTCACACTTCCAATATAGAGTTTGTATAGAGTGAATATGTAGTGTTTTGGGAACAGAATTTGGCTTGCTGATCTTGGTTGCTACTTTAGCTTGGGGTTTGTAGAGCAGATTTTGTATAGTCCAATGTTGACCTGATATAGAGGGTCAATAAAGTGAGGTAGGTGGTGGAGGGAATTAATGTGGTTGGTACATTGGTTTAATGAATTAGTTGGATGGTGGTGTGTGTCATGAGGCATTGACTCATCAAATGAGGCTTGTATGCTACATCTGAAAACAAATTGAGTAGTTAAATTTGTATTGTACAACCTCATTGATTTGTCAAATTAATGAGGTATTGAATATTCATGATGTATTGAATAAATGAATTTCCAAATTTATGAATGAATTTTTAAATATAAGACTTCCAACATCAGTAAGCATTTGGTAATTATTTTGTAACTGATTAAGACATGGTTATTAAAAACTGTAATTCGTTAGTAATTTAATATATGATTAAGACATGGTTATTAAAAACTGTAATTCTTTGGTAATTTAATATATGCGGATATATATAAGAAGACAACATCAATAAATTATGAATTGGATAATCTTAGATAATCAGTAGAGAACATTTATCAATTGTCAAATTTATAGATTGGATTATCAGAACAGAACATCAGAATAGAACTTGCCAAGTACTTGGATAATATTGACAAAATTATGAAGAGCACTAACAACAAACAGTAGCTGGCAACCTCTCATTCCAAAAAATAAGCAAAATTACTTGTTCACGTCGACGTGGTGAATTTAGTTTTTACCGTGAAGATGCCACATATGTTCTATTAAATCATTACGAAGGGCATGATATGCATCTTTATCTCTAATACCTAAATGACGAGACCGAAATGATTGGAAGTCATTGTTAGTAGTACAGGAAAGTTGTACTGGTGCGTTGGTTGATGAAAGTTCATAATTGAAATCAAGGTGCTCCTCTCTCTCATATTCGACAATCATATTATGTAATATAACGCAACTCTTCATTATGTTCCCAAGCATTTTCGGATCCCAAAAATGTATAGCACCACCTACAATTGCAAATCGAGATTGGAGCACTCCGAATGCCCGCTCTACATCCTTCCTTGTTGACTTTTGCATCATTGCAAAATTTTGCTTCTTTGCTCCTTGGCGAGAAGAGATTGTTTGAACCAGTGTTACCCATTGAGGGTATATACCATCAACAATGTAATAACTCATATTATAACTGTGTCCATTAATAGTGTAATGGACAGGAAGAGCTTTACCTTGAGTAAGATCAGAAAACAAAGGCGATCGATCCAACACATTCAAGTCATTGTGTGATCCAGGCATTTCAAAAAATGTATGCCAAATCCACAAATCATAAGAAGCTACTGTTTTAAGAATGATGGTTGGCTTTTTTTGATGGCCTACGTATTGACCTTGCCATGCCTTTGGACAATTTCCACTCCTAATGCATGCAATCTAAACTTCCTAACATACCCAGAAACCCCCGAACCTCCCCAATAGCAAGTAATCTAACAATATTAATTGGTGTTGACGATCTCAGATATTCTGGTCCGAAGATTTCAATTACTGAATTACGAAAGTATTGCAAACTTTGAATTGTAATGCTTTCCCCAATACGTATATAATCATCAGCTGCATCTGCTGCCACTCCATATAACAAAATTCTCATAATTGAAGTCAATTTTTGTAGGAGAGACAATCTAAGAATATGAGTTGCATCTTGTTTTTGAACAAAATATGGATTGTGTGCTTCGATGACATTCAAAATTTGCAGATACAAAGGACAACGCATTCGAAAACGTCTCCGAAATGTTGTAGGTGAATAAATTGGATTTGCTGCAAAATAATCCGCAAACAATCGTTCATGGCCCTTCTTTCTGTCATGACGAATGTACTTATGGCCTACAACAGAACCACCTCTTTTTCTTTGATCTATTAATTGATTGCAGAATTTGAATCATACTAGCATTATTCATCTCATAAGCCCTCAAAAGTGTGATCATTCTTTTATCATCAGACTCATCATCAGAGGATGAGGAAGAAGAACATAATGAAAATGAAGTGAATATCATGGAATTTAAGATACTCATTATGCTCTGCTTTCTTTCAGTTATGGTGCCTTTCAGATATAGCGCACCAGTTGTCTGGTATATGGTATATGGTAGATGGATAATGTGTTTACATCAGGTTTTGGAAGGAAATCATTATTGGAGGCAACCAAAAATGAAAAATATGTAATGGGGGAAAAAAGAATTAATAAACGAATTAGGAACAGAAAGGGAGGGGAAAAAAAAACTGAGTTGGTTATCCGGTTGACCCATCGGACGTTTTTTTTTGTTTTGATGTACACTACAGTGGAACGATTGGAATTGCTTGTATCAAATTGAAAAAATTACTCTTTTTTTTATTCAAATTTAATAAAAATTTTACTGAATCATTGAAAATACTCTAAGAATGTGTACAATAAAATTGTACAAAATAAATTTTAGCCAAAGTTATGAATGCAACAAAACCATGACCCCACAGCTGGCATCCGTGGCACCTAAACATAAGTAGGCGTATCATAAGTCAGCCATTCATAAGCCGCCACCCATTTACTATTTATCTAGATTTTCCAACTCTAAAAACAAAATAACTTGGAAAATTCCTTATACGCTACATACAGAAAAAGAGTAATCGTATTAGCATTATTACCTGACAAAACTCAATCCACAAGAAGAGCAAAAATGGAGATGGCAATCTCAATCCCATCTGCAACTTTCTCTCCTTCTCCAATTTGTAGAACAATTCCAAGAACAACAATAACAAATTCACCATCTCTCTCCTTCACTTCTTCCAAATCTTCCTTCTTCAACAACACCTTGACCCACCAAAACATTGCCAGCAGTGGCCAGGTTCAAGGTCGAACCAGAACCAGAACCAGAACCAGAAGCAGGGGTCTGTCTTGCACCTGCTTGTTCGGCCTTGGTGTGCCGGAGCTCGTGGTTATTGCTGGCGTTGCCGCCCTCGTTTTCGGCCCCAAAAAGCTGCCCGAAGTAGGCCGCAGCATTGGCAAGACAGTCAAGAGCTTCCAACAGGTCAGCTTTCTTCATTTCTAGGGTTTTCAATTTTCATATTCTGGGGCTTATTTTGAACATCACTTGAGTTTGGTTTCAATTAAATTGAATTTTTTTGTTTTTGGTGTTTTTGTTTTTGTTTTTAATAAATATTTTTTAAATTATAAGTATTTTTTATTTCTTATAGGTGGATATGGGGGATTTTTTTTCATGGTCCTGTTATTAAGATTTTATAGCATAAAGGACACTAAATATTTTTATAATATCTAAGGTCCTCAACATTGATGCAGATCAACATTCATGCAGAGAAAATTCAATCCAGAGAATTTCTCTCCCGAGAAATTCTGGAAATTTATTTGGATTTCGGAATTTTTCTCCAAAGAAATTCTGGATTCTCTGTGTTTTAACCAAATTTCCCTGGACTTTAGAATTTCTCTCCACAGAAATTCTGAATTTTCTCTGGATTCTTTGTGTTTTGACCAATTTATATATATATATAAATAAATAAACTACTAGGAAAATAAAAGAAAACAGAACCGATTCGACTGAGGGACAAAACTGACTGAACTACTTGATGTTTTTGATTTTTTGTTCTAACATTTGAATCAATGGATTCAACTAACAGACTCATAGCAGAATTATATTCCCAGGACATGACATAAAAAAGTTCCACAATGGTGCAAATGTGTTGTAAAGTGATATACGAATTATATGAAGTTCAGGAGGTCACACATGAATCATGTAAATATGCTTGTTATTAGCTACAAACACAGTGCATTTTTCGATATGCCTATACTGGCCACAACGAAGAACAACACAGATACTCACTATGACCATAACACACAGCAGCCTTTCTATTACCATATTGTTCTCGGCACTGAATTGACACTTTAATTGTGTGTGATTGAGGGAATTCTAGTAATCACCTGTGTTAGGGTAGGTACTTAGTTTGAGAAATTTCTATTACCAGAGAAATTTCTCTGGATTTCGGAATTTCTCTCCAGAGAAATTCTGGATTCTCTGTGTTTTAATCAAATTTCTCTGGATTTCGGAATTTCTCTCTAGAGAAATTCTGAATTTTCTCTGGATTCTTTGTGTTTTGACCAATATATATATATATAAATAAACTACTAGAAAAATAAAACAGAACAGAACCGATTCGACTGAGGAACAAAACTGACTGAACTACTTGATGTTTCTGATGTTTTGTTCTAACATTTGAATCAATGGATTCAACTAACAGACTCATAGCATAAGTATATTCCCAGGACATGACATAAAAAAGTTCCACAATGGTGCAAATGTGTTGTAAAGTGATATACGAATTATATGAAGTTCAGGAGGTCACACATGAATCATGTAAATATGCTTGCTATTAGCTACAGACACAGTGCATTTTTCGATATGCCTGTACTGACCACAACCAAGAACAACACAGATACTCACTATGACCATAACACACAGCAGCCTTTCTATTACCATATTGTTCTCGGCACTGAATTGACACTTCAACTGTGTGTGATTGAGGGAATTCTAGTAATCACCTGTGTTAGGGTAGGTACTCAGTTTGAGAAATTTCTATTACTAGAGAAATTTCTCTCCAGAGAAATTCTGAAAATTTCTCTCCAGAGAAATTCTGAAAATTTCTCTGGATTTTGGAATTTCTCTCCAGAGATTCTGGATTCTCTGTGTTTTAATCAAATTTCTCTGGATTTCGGAATTTCTCTTCAGAGAAATTCTGAATTTTCTCTAGATTCTTTATGTTTTGACCAATATATATATATATATATATAAATAAATAAACTACTAGAAAAATAAAACAGAACAGAACCGATTCGACTGAGGGACAAAACTGACTGAACTACTTGATGTTTCTGATGTTTTGTTCTAACATTTGAATCAATGGATTCAACTAACAGACTCATAGCAAAAGTATATTCCCAGGACATGACATAAAAAAGTTCCACAATGGTGCAAATGTGTTGTAAAGTGATACACGAATTTTATGAAGTTCAGGAGGTCACACATGAATCATGTAAATATACGACCAGTATCCTATCACAAACTAACGCCTAAAACCTGTACAGCGGTAATGTGCTACCCATATTATATATATAGATATACATATATATCTACATCTAAAGCAAGTGTGCCAAATGCGAAGATTGTGCCCTCTGACGAAGCAACAGTGGAGGAGGCGGCAGCTGCGGTGGAGGTGAAGTGATGAGATCGGGGAGAGAGAGAGAGATGGGAATTTCTCTGTGATATATGGGTGTGGGAGTTGAGGGACCTTAGACATTATAAAATAAAATTGTGGATCTCTTCCATTACTAAATATGGGAGACGGACCTTAGACTAATTTTCCCATGCATATGTATTAAAAAATAAAATATATATAAAAATATATTTTAAAAAATTAATAAATACATAAGAATATGAATTTTTGTAATTTTTTTTTATATTTTTTATATTTAGTAATTTTTTTAAAAAAAATTTCACAAATATTATAATTTTTTAATATATTTATATCAAGTGTTTTTAAAAATTAAAAAAATTGGTTAAAATATTAAAAAAAATGAAGTATAAAAAAATACAGAAAACATATAAGTGAATCCGAAATTATGAAACCAAACATATTTGTGTGCTTGTATTGCTGTGAAAATTTGTGACGGTTATTTTAGGGTATGCTTGTGTGTTTTCATAAGGGAAATGAAAAATGAATTATAAACATAAGAAAGAGAAAGGGAGTGCTACTGAGAACAATATCATTTAATGAGGGTCTTGAGCTTCATATGAAACTGTGAATGCATTTGAAATTAGGTTATGATGGAGGAAAATTAGTGTAGTTATGAGAAGTTTGGTAGACCTATTAATTATGAACATAGTTGTTTGAATCTTGCGATTAACGATTCGATGCATAGGATTTGGTACAAGTTTTAACCAAAATGATTTGATTCGTGCCGTCGAATCTTAAATTGAGTTAATCGTACAATTTGATTGTGATTCACTACGTTTCAGTTTTGTTTGCTTAATGCATGAAATGGTGTCGTTTTTGCAAATAAATTAAAAAGAAAAAAAAGAAAAAAAAAAAAAGAAAGAAAAAGAAAAAGGGATCAATTAGCTGTATTGGTATACTTGATTTTATATGTATGAACATATATTCAATTTGGTGTTTCATTTTAAACAGTGTGTGTATATTTTTATATGTATGTACATATATATAACATTATATATTATTTTAAAGAAAGTGAATCTTACAATTCACAATTCACTATTTTAGCAAAATGATTCACTACTAGATTCTCCATTTGACAACAATGATTATGAATATATGCCAAAATTGACTGTGGAACAGAACTCTGAATAATAGATTTGTATCTTCAAATTGGCACTTACTGTAACATCTGGACATGTTCATCTTCGAGGGATCCCTCTTCCCCCGTTATAGGCATCTAAAAGATGGATAGGAATGGTATCATTTATTTATTTTTGAACAACTACCTTTGTATTGGTTGAATTGAATGAGTTCTTTCACCTTTTTTCTTTTAATCATTAACATTGTAACTTTGTCCTAATGAGTTCTTTAACCTTGTTTCTTTAACCTTGTCCTAATGAGTTCTTTCAATTTGTCTATTTTAAACATGTTAGAAAATTAGCTCAAAATGAGAATGTTGAGATGGATGAGTGAAATTTAAAAAAGAAGGTAGAAGTGACACCAATTGAAGGTCAAATGCAGGAGAGGTCATTTGAGATGGTCTGATTATATGTATCAATAACCAATGAACACACCTGTAAGGATGAGTGACTTGATGTGTGTGTAGGGTGGTAAAAGAAATAGCGGAAGCTAAAGGAGAATGTATTGAGGGGATTATAAAGGACATGATCACCTGAAGATTAAATAAGGATATGACTTTGGATGGAATTAACTGAAAGAAATGGATCTGTAAAGGACAGGATGTGTTGATGCAATAATAAAGGACATGGTTACCTCAACGTTAACTGAGGATATGCCTGCAGATAATTAACTAAAAGAATGGATTTATGTAGTCCATCCCAAGTAATTGGGACAAAGGCTTGTTGATTGGAGTTTAATATTTAATTTTTCCATCATTCTATACTACTCTGAAGATTACATCTACTTCTAACCATTTTGATGAATGATGTGCTATCTATGTAGTATCTTTTTCTGACTGGTTGTAGTATTTCTCTAGAGAGCACCTAAAAGCAAGAATATAGATATCCCTGTTTTAGTTAGAAACATCCAAATTCTCTATAAAAGACAGAATAATGAAGAAACAGATTCTCCTCGTCTCCCAACTCCATAATAACCAAAAACAAGACGCCAAATCTGTGGATAAAGTCCTCTACTCCAGTAAATCTATGTCAATTCTTTGTCTTCTTGAACACGCACCACATCAAGCAAAGATGCTCATTTTATGTCTTCTTCTTACCCATCTACCTCTGCCTTTTTTCTAGCTTTGAAGTAATCTAACCAGTAAACACCCATGCAGACCCAATTTAAGCTACTCCAAATAAAGTCCAACAAAGGCCTAGATTTCCTTGCCTGCTCTACAATGAATAAGCAAATGATTGTTTTCATTCATCAGCCTCATTCAACATACAATACTCACTAGGGAAGATATTTTCCCCTCCTTTGCAAAGTACCAGTCGTTATAATCTTCCCGTGCGCTGCTGTGCACTATACGCAAAAAGGCCCAAATACATAACTAAGGGAAGCACGATGTCAGATCGACCAGTCAAAGCCTTACTGAAAGATTTCACCTCAAGTTTTGGGAGAGTACCCACCAAAAAGCATCCTCTCCCTTAGTCATCTTTGTCACTGATGAATCTTTTATCTCCAGCACCAAAAATAAATAAACAAAGCCAATGTATCTTTATTCATTGCCATGCTTCAGAAATTAGGAAAAGATTTCGGGGTGATACGCACCATTTAGCCTTCCGAAAGCTCGCCCTACCTCCTTGACCCAAAGTTGGTTATGCAATCTTCTTGTCTTGCAGAATCTTAAAACATAAATGTTAGTATTCCCTTGTCATTAAAATGAATGAAGTGGTTAATTTGGTTTCAGACATGGTAAAACCAATTGTAGAAAAGTAGTGAAAAGAAATTAATGGATGTGTGTTTTATGATAAGTTTGTTCTAGGCCTTGTTAAAAATGTGGGAGAGAAACAAATTTTGATTAAATTTACTATTTTTTTGCTCTTGGACAGGGTTTGATGCTTTGAGCAACCCCTTTGGACAGGGTTTGATGCTTTGAGCAACCCCTTTAAGTGTATTGGACATTGGGATTGGGAATGTTTCTAACAGTTCTTGGATTTGGAGGACGGATATTGGTCAATCAAGCAAGTTTTGGTAGTTGTGAATTATAAGTTTAAGCCAAGGGTATTGAAATGGGAATAAAAGGAAAAGACCTAGGAGCTTTAAACCTGAACTTCTGTTGTGGTTTAGGACCATTACACATGGCTGGTCCCATCATTTTGTAATGGTTGGAAGGGTGGATTGAGTAGATACATTGTCCTCATTCACAAAGTGGCTTCCTTAAGAATTAAATCCTTAGTTTCGGGCCTATAATTATCACATAGTATTGTCAATTATAATGCTTCAAAGAGTGGGAAGCCTGTATCCTCGAAGAGGAATCACTGTAGCTGTGTTCTACAATCCATGCCTTGTGATCAGGAGCAAATCAGTAAAAGTTGGGGATGAAAACGCACTTCGTAGGGTCTAAATGAAATTAGATAAAGATTTGATTACATTGATTCTTTTCTAGTAGGGTAGTAGGTTGCACATACTACTGAATTATTTGAGCACATTTATCCTCATCTATCAAGATATATACATGTAATTCTTTGCTCAAAACATAAAAATTTTGTTTTATATAGAGTAGTGAAATTATTCTTGCCCATGGTGTCTTCTATGCAAGGGTGATTCTCTCTCTCTCTCTTTCTCTCTCTCTCTCTCTCAATGTTTAATTTCTTATATCTTTGTTTGCTTCTCTTTGTGTTTGAGAGGGTGTGGTCGGGATTGTGGTTTATGGTATAGAAGTACAATTCTAGGCTATTATATATATATATATATATATATATATTTGGACTGACTAGACATTTTTTTATCCTGGAAATGTCTATCTCATGAAAATAATATTTAGTGATGTATGAGCTAAATATATAAATATTTGATTATATTTGAATATGACCGATGAAGTCAGCACTGACATAAAGGCTAGGCAGTATAGTGCAGCACATACTTTTCTTTCTGGTGGAATTGCCTTCCAAAGTCATTTCTTTTGATACCCTATCTTCTGATCAATATGAAAGAAATACCCACAAAATGTTATCTGTTGGACATCGCTCTAGTGCCTGTCTTTTTCTTGAATTCTTTATATTAATATTAATAATATTTTACACCTCAGTTCCATAAAGAAAAAGTCATTGGCCATTGATTGATGTGTTTATTAATATCCGTGTTATTTGTGACATGAGCTAAAACTTTGTCTATCCTTTTGTTAGAGATTCCACTAAACAGTGGGGTTAAGGCTGCCTACTACCTCTCCCAGACTCTACTGTAAGCAGTAGCCACCTTTTTGGATTTAGTTTAGTCAATGACAATGATTTTCAAATAATGGTGTGTTTTCTAAACAATCCTGTTTGAGTTTCTGGTGGTGCCTCACATATTATTACACTACCAATTTGTGTGATTCATTGCTGCCTAAGAGAATGATAGAAAAATTTCAAATTGTGCCTTAACGGCCCCATGGATTTACTCATCATGAATATTCCAACCCTTGAAATTTAATACAGAAAAAGAAAAATGTTACAACAGAAAACAATCTTTATGCTTTCCCAAATGTATATTATTACTATACTAGATTGTTTATTATTTAATTATTACTATGTTTTTAAAAAAATAAATAAACTAATCTATTTTGAGTGTTCTTCAACTAAATTGTTCTACACGCGACCATTGTTAACATGTAATGCGTAAAACTGTTCACATTTTTTTTTTTTTTTACTGTTGCAGGCAGCAAAGGAGTTTGAGACAGAGCTGAAAAAAGAGCCTGGTTCTACTACAGAGCCTCCTGTGGAGAAACCTACAGCTGCAATTGAAGAGGAGAAAGAAGTCAAGGTCTCAAGCACAAAGGAGAGTTTATGAGACTGTTGAAATACCAATTACACATTTTATGCATTTTCTATGCTCATGCCCTGCTGCTACTGGTGATGTTTCTTAAAGGTGTAGAGATTTATTTATAATGTAGATTAGTGGTGCACATGAGTTGGATGATCATCTACTTTTGTTCCTTAGTTTGTATCATCTACAAGTTTTTTTGGTTTTTATGTTTTCATTCATTGTTTGAAGATTCATAGTAGTACAGGCCATTAGAAGTAGATTATTTGATGTTACTTTGAACAAGGGTTCATTTGCCTCTAGTCCAACTTTAGGATCAAGGCCTTTAAATTGCGTATTGAAAACTAAAGTAAAAAAATCACGAAGAACAAGTACGGCAGATGGCTTATTATGACGAAAAATTGTTGGAAAGTAAGTTTTTTTTGTAGGTTTTTTTAGCTGTAAGATATTATTGGAAATTTTTTTTTTTTATTTTCGGAAAGATAGTTGTGTTTTTTTGTGATTAGATGTAATGTTTGTGAGAGAAAAAATAAAATGATTATAGGGGTTTGATGTGATATTTTGTTTGAATTTTTTTTTTTTTTTTTTTTTACTTATTTTTTTTTTTAGGGAAAAAAAAAAAAAAAAAAACCTCTAAGGTTTCAGTCATGTAACAAAATAAATTTAAATTTTTAATTTTATCAATTAAACTTTATACTTTGGATTTGTTTTCAATTTAAACAATTTGCTTATTTTTGTTGAGTAAAATCAATGAAAAAATAGATATTTTAGTTATTAAACTCAGGGAAAAACTTATTGTAGACATTTTATGTGTACTTATACCGAGTTTAATGACAAATCCTTTTTCGATTGATTTTATTTAATTAAAATAGGCTAATGGTTTCAATTGAAAATAAATCAAAATATTAGAGTTTAAATTGGCAAAATTGAAATTCCAGAGTATATTTTGTGATAGGGCATGAACTCCGTTTTTTTAATTTTTTAATTTTTTTTGTAATTGTCCCATTTTTTATTTATTTATAAATCCTACTTCTAGTACTTATGTTTCAATTAGTTCAAATTAATTTCTTGTTTTCCAATTAGTCCCCATAGGTTGCAAAATTACAAAAACAACCATGTAAACAGAGGCGCGTATTCTGGGATTCAAACACTATCACAAGTTACACAAAAGGAAATGTTGTCTCCAATATTCTATAAAACAAACATTGAGATTGGAATATGGGTTCATGTGTAACGCCCTCAATTTCATAAAACCCAACTCATCGGATGCAACCCATAATCACTTTCTATTTTCATTTAACAATTGAATTATACATGCGGAAGCTATAAATTAATTCAACATGGATTGATAATCATTATCATAGTAAATCTATACTTCACTGTATTTCCTTCCAAAGTTTCATCATGAGATTACAAAATATGATTACATGCGGCATACATTCACAACCCTAAAGATTGAATCTATAACATGAAACGTACAAGTATGTAAAATGAATGATATCCAATTATGTACCTTAGAGGTTTTCAAACTTTCAAGGGTCTTGCCCTATTACATCAAAAGAGAGTTTCAACCCCAAATGAACTTAAGCCCTTGGCTTTACATAAGGAAATAGAAATGAGCTTCACACTGCAAAATCTTCCATGCATTCATCTTAGTAGAGGTACACCGTCAATATCTAAAAATTGTTTTCACATAGGAATGAGCATATAGCTCAGCAAAGCTAATTCATAACAAAGTGCATAAATTTTAATAGGGTGAATTACACTAATAATCCCTATAGTTTGAGACTTGTGTCACTTTGGTCCATAACTTTTTAATTGTGACACATTTGACCCTGAATTTTGAATCTTGTTTTAAATAAGGACAATTGAAAATATCATTAGATTTTTCAAAGGTAAAATCGTCAATTTCATAAAATATAAACTAATTTGACAAAAATAAATGTCAAACATATATTTTTGAATTTTTAAAAATTATTTCTACCCACTAAAAATAAAATTATGTAAAATTGATAAATCTTTTAGACATTTATTTTTTTTTTTACCAAATTAATTTTTATTATGTGTTTGGATAATGATCATGTAAAATTAATTTTAAAAAATTAATCATGCAATTTTTATTAATTTTTATCAATTTTACATAATTTTATCATTGGTGGATAAAAATAATTTTTTAAAAATTAAAAATATTTTTTTGACATTTATTTTTGTCAAATTAGTTTATATTTTATTAAATTGATGATTTTTCCCTTAAAATTAAACAATGATATATTCAATTGTCCTTATTTGAAACAAGATTCAAAATTCAAGATCAAATGTGTCACAATTGAAAGTAACACGAGTCCCAAACTATAGGAACTGTTAGTATAATTTGTCCATTTTAATATTATCGTGATCACGAGATGCAATGACTTGCCATACTCAAAATACACGTTTTATTTCCAAAGGATCATGCCATGCATTTTTCCAAGATCATAAATGAATTCACAACTTTCGTTTCATCAAAACATTGGGTGGTAGGTATGTCTGTTAGTAATCTCTCAAAGCACAACACTGGAAATCCTTAGATGTGCGTCTGCTAATAGTCTCTCAGCGCACTACCAAATACCCCATCTTATTGAAAACCTACTCCGTGTATATTTTAAGATTTTCACCATGAATCTCAAGCCAACTTAATTTTCAAATTATATTTACACCTCTTAATCGGATTTACCAAGGTATTTATCTCATTTCTCAATATTTTTCAAAAGTTCTCGACAAACCAATCACAATGCATTTCTCAAATGCAATTAATTTGATTTTCTATCTACAAAGAAGAGAACTTGATTTTTGTGTTGTGATTTTTGATCTAGGGTTGAAAATTAAATTTTGTTTTTTAATTTTTGATATTATAATGATGTGCTAATGTTGGGATTGTTGTTTGGCTATATATGGCAGTGGCAACGAAAGGCAATGGAACGGTAGTGGTCGGTGGCTTTATTCAAAAATGGTGCTAAATGTACCTACCTTTTTACTTTGGACCCCTCATTTCTTTAAACCCCCACCTATGAAATTCAAATTATTTAAAATTTCTTTGAACCACTAACTTAATACCAAAATTATCCCTATTGCAATTACCACTACTCCAAAGACATGCACACCCACTTCCCCCCCCCCACCCCACTCCGCTCCACTCCACTCCACCTACTCCATTATCCCAACCCACCACGGTCTCTTGAACAAGATTAAAGTTTTCCACCCACCAAAGATATATATATATATATATTATTGAAGCTGCGTGGTCCTTCTCACAAGATATGTGAAGATTATTTTCAATTTTTTGGCTTTATTTCGATCATCAACATGTATTTTATGTACTGAAGCCGATAATGTCTGTTCGGTAGTCCAGTATCAACTATTGTGACAAAACGCAGAACCTTTTTTCCGAACAACAATCATATACCCAATAGGGTGTTGCCGAACATTATCACCATGATGGGTTTGGTCTTGAAGGAAGTTAATGGATGAAATGTATTAAAATGGAAATGTTTTTCAACACTACAACTAGTCAAACAAATAAATTTTGTTCGGGATCCTATTGCCGAACAATCTATATTTGTTCGGTAATCCAGAACCGAACACGTCAAGTTGTCAACTATGCAAAACCTGATTTCTGTTCAAAAAAACTTATCAAGACATGGCAAACCTCGACGACAGTGTTGCTGTCATGCACCATTGCTCACTTGTCGCTGTCTCTCACCTCCTTCATCGACTAGGTTACTGTCAATATGTGAAGAAGAACTAACACTATGAACAATGATGGATTATATGGGAATGGATTGTGATTATGGTCAGACGATGAGTTTTTTTGTGGGGGGTGGGTGTTCAATATCAAGGTCTGTGTGAGTGTGGTAAGAGTGGGTGTTTTAGGTAGGAGTGGGTGTCCAATTTTTAGTTGTCCTCAAAAGTAATTTTACTTAAGGTCATAGTTGCCATTAAGAGAAAAATAAATAGGCGGGGTCGTCCAAAGTGAAAAGGTGGGGGCATTTAGCAGCACTCTTATTCAATCACAAGCAAAGAAGGCTCTAAAAAGGGAAAGTAAAATGTCTATTTTGTCATTGGAAACCAATCACATGTCATTCACGTTCAAATTTTCCATCCAATTCCTTAACTTCCGTTTTCAATTAGACCAAATCGACACATAGTTTAAAATTTAGGGTTAAAATCGAGCAAATTAAAATTAAAAGAAGCAAAATGACACATCATGTAAATTACATTTTTTTTTTTAAATGTAATACTTTTCGTTGACACAAATTCGTTCTAATCAAGTGATTATTGATATCCAATCAACGTGATTTTTTGTAAGAATGAACTGCTCTACAAACTCTACACATTGCACAGTTCGGAGAAATCCAACAATATGCTCCAAGCTAATTTTAAACTAGATATAAGTCATTGCCTAACCAAATTCCCCTTCTTTGAATTATAGGTTTTCTTTACGGTGGTTGTTGGATTATGTAATGTATTATAATGGTTTGGTTTAATGTAATTTTTAACTTGAGAAAAGTTGGACCCACTGTATTTGTGAATTGACAACACAAATTGTTATATTATCCTATCATTATACATTAACTAAGAATTTATTCAATTGAAGAAAAAAAATAAAGGGTTAATTGGAGAAAAAGTCATTATTGGATCATATGTTATTTAATTAAAGGTTTAATTTTTTTTTAGCAATAAAGATATGCGTTGAAAAGTTGTCAAAAAAATTGAAGTCGAAAGTCACTCGTTATGGTGATTGGTGGGTAATGAGGTGTTTTGATAAGTGATGTTGAACAAATAGGCAAACAGATAGGTGACACGTGTATAAATAAGTAATATTTGAATAGATAGGTGGACAAATAAGTGATACGTGTATAGATAAGTGACATTTAAACAGATAGACAAATAGTTAAACTTTGAATAAATAAATATTTTTTTGGTCAAATAATATCTTTTTAACTTATTTTATTTTTTATTTTTTGAAATTCGAGTCTATTTACCAAAAATATCGGAAATAAATCTTTCACACCTTAGTGCCAAAAAATAATCTAATATAATTGCGCGCGTTCGGAAGAACATACCATGACGTGATTAAGAAGGTGGGGTAATGGTTAAACTATTGCTTTTCTTTTCGTTTTTTTTTTTAAATTTTTTTATTATTATTATTTATTTTGGTTTCGCTTGTTTGTCTCCTGAAAAATATTGTGCG